GCAGGGTTAAACAGAGTCTGGAAACACTCAGAATAATGCTGTTTTTGGCCTTTTCAGCTCTATTTTTTGGCCCTATTTTGTGGTGCTTTCTTCTTTTTTGTCTTCTTAGTACCAAATTTGAGATCTTTTACTTGTTGGTTTAGGGTTATATTCAGGTTCTGTCCCACTGTGGGAACTCTGGGAAGTTTCAGCTGGATGGATGCTAACAGAGTTAGCTTCAAGCTGAGAGCAGCAGGTTTAAACAGAGTCTGGAAACACTCAGAATAATGCTGTTTTGGTTTTTTTATCTCAATTTTTTTTTTCTTTTCACCTTTTTTTGTTGTCCTTTGTCCTTTTTGTCCGCTTAGTACCAAGTTTTAGATATTTTACATGTATACTAATGGTTTCATTCAGGTTCTGACCGACTGTGGGAACTCTGGGGGGTTTCAGCTGGATGGATGCTAACAGAGTTAGCTTCAGGCTGAGAGCAGCAGGTTCAGACTGAGTCTGAAACACTCAGAATAACTCCAGTATTGAACTTAACAGCTTTTATTGTCCTCTTAGTATCTAGTTTTATGTAATTTACTTCTATATTCATGGTTTCATTTTGGTTCTGAGGGAGATTTACATGCTGTTCTTGCTCTTTTTAGCTCGATTTTGGGGTCTTTCCAGACCTGTTTTGGCCTTCTGGGCTCCTTTTGTGGTCCTTTGTCCTTTATTTGATCTTTTTAGTACCTAATTTTAGATCGTTGGATCTCAGATCTTTAGATTGGATGGATGCTAACAGAGTTAGCTTCAGACTGAGAGCAGCGGGTTCAGACAGGGTCTGGAAACACTCAGAATAACTCCTTTTTTTGTCCTTTTGGTACCAAGTTTTAGATATTTTACATGTATATTAATGGTTTCATTCAGGTTTTGAACCACTGTGGGAACTCTGGGAGGTGTCTGGGACTCAGTGACAGCGGCTAGATGGATGCTAACAGTTAGCTTCAGGCTGAGTCTGGAGTTGAGGGGAAACAGCCCAGTGTGGAGCTCAGCAGTTGCTTTCAGGTCAAATATCTCACCAATGTTTCTGACCAATATTAGAGACGTCAAGCCTTTAAGTGCTGAAGCAGAAAAATAAAAGTTAGTTAGAACAGTTCTGGTTTTCACCTCTGCAGGTTTTTGTATCTGATGAAGTCTTCCACTTCCACCTTTGAGATCTTGTTGTAGTCCAGGCTCAGCTCAGTGATTGAAGAAGGGAGGTCTAGGGGGCAAAACACACCAAATACAAAGGAGATTAACGCGGCATCAGGCCTGTTTCAGCAAAAAAAAAAAAACAACACAAGCAGACGGAAAGAACTTGAGTAAATTGACTCAAAACTCCAATAATTAGCCATAAAATGACCAAAACATGGAGCAAAGGACCAAAAACAGACACTAAACTGCAAGAATGGACACAAAATAAGGAGTAAAACATCAGAAAAAGGGACAAACTGATCAGAAAATGACAAGAGAAGACACAAATCTGAGAAAGGTACAGCAAAAGACCAGAAACTATCCAAAAATGGAATAAAAACTCCAATAACTAGCCATAAAATGACCAAAATGTGGAGCAAAAGACCAAAAACAGACATAAAACTGCAGGAACGGACACAAAATGACCAAAACGTGCAGTAAAAGAGTAGAAAATTAAGTAAATTGACACAAAACTCCAATGATTAGCCATAAAATGACCAAAAGGTGGAGAAAATTATCAGAAGATTTAGTAAATTGACACAAAACTCCAATGATTAGCCATAAAATGACAAAAAGGTGGAGAAAATTATCAGAATTTTTAGTAAATTGACACAAAACTCCAATAATTAGCCATAAAATGACCAAAATGTGGAACAACAGATTAAATAAATTATTAAATTGACACACAAAACTCAGATAATTAGCCATAAAATGACCAAAATGTGGAGAAAAAGATCAGAAAATTAAGTAAATTGACCCAAAACTCCAATAATTAACCATAAAATGACCAAAACGTGGAGTAAATTATCAGAAAATTAAGTAAATTGACACAAAACTCCAATGATTATCCATAAAATGACTTAAATGTAGAGCAACAGATTAAAAAAAATAGTAAATTGACACAAATCTCCAATAATTAGCCATAAAATGACCAAAATGTGGAGAAAAGGATAAAAAAAATGACTAAATTGACTCAAAACTCCAATAATTAGCCATAAAATGACCAAAACGTGGAGAAAAAGATCTGAAAATGTAGTACATTGACACAAAACTACAATAATTAGCCATAAAATGACCAAAACGTGGAGAAAAAAAATCTGAAAATTAAGTAAACTGACACAAAACACCAATAATTTGTCATAAAATGACCTAAATATGGAGCTACAGATTAAAAGATTTAGCAAATTGACACAAAACTCCAATAATTAACCACAAAATGACCAAAACGAGCAGTAAAAGATTAGAAAATCAAGTAAATTGACACAAAACTTCAATAATTAGCCATAAAATGACCAAAATGTGGAGAAAAACATCATAAAATTTAATAAATTGACACAAAACTCCACTGATTAGCAGAGAGAAACGGCCTGAGCGCAGATTGGTTGGTGAGTTTTGCTCTGCTGAGGTTTCCTGCTGGTCTGTGAGGAGGAAAGGCTGAACCTGCTTTTATAGAGTCGTAATTACCTTTGGGCACCGCGGTGAGTTTGGCCTCGGCCATCCCGACGTACAGCGTGGAAAGGCCCTCAAACGCCCCCGGCTCGATGCCGCTGTTGGCCAGAGGGTTGGCGCCCAGCTCTGAGAGGATGGGAACAAACATCCGGATGAGTATTAGGGAGATAACACTAACACATATAAGGACTATAAGCTATCCAGAGAGACACAAAGTCCATGTGGACGCTGTGGAGAAGAGACCAGACGACCCAAAAAGTGGAGAAAAAGACCGGAAAATTAACTAAACTGACACAAAACTTCAATACTTAGCCATAAAATGAACAAAACTTGGAGAAAAGGACCAAAAACGGACACAAAGCTCCAATAGTTGGCCATAAAATGACCCAAACGTGGAGCAAAAGACCAAAAACGGACAGAAAACTCCAATCATTAGCCATAAAATTACCAAAACTCGGAGCAAAAGACCAAAAACAGACACAAAGCTCCAATAATTAGACATAAAATGACCAAAACGTGGAGCAAAAGACCAAAAACAGACAAAAAACTTTAATAATTAGCCATAAAATGACCAAAACGTGGAGAAAAGGGCCAAAAACAGACACAAAACTCCAATAGTTAGCCATAAACTGACCAAAACTTGGAGCAAAAGACCAAAAACGGAAACAAAACTACAGTAATTAGCCATTAAATGACCAAAACGTGGAGCAAAAGACCAAAAACTGACAAAAACACCCTACTGGTCTCTACTGCCCCCTTCTGGCCACTGCTGCCTCCTACTGGTCTCTACTGCTTCCTACTGCCCCCTACTGGTCTCTACTGCCCCCTGCTGGCCTCACCCAGCACATGCAGCTACCTC